CCCGCGTCCCGCTTGGCGGCATCGCCGCTGGTGCCGCGGCCGGGCGTGTGGGCCTGGGGCGCAGCCCGTGAGCTGGCCCCCATTTGCGGTTGGACGCGGCGGTAAAAGACACCTGTAGTGAGGTACTGGTCTTTCCCTCTTCGAGCTAAGTAACTAGGAGATAACCGAAGTTTGTCATTTCGACGTGGCATTAGGAGTTCTCCGGGAATCTTGAGAAAGAGGCGCGGTAAAAGTTTATGACGAGCTCCTTGAAGTCTTTACCAGCACGCTGGGCAGTATCCGTGTGCCCTTCTTAAGTACACGGATGCCTTCGTTTTTCCTAGCATCTGCACCCCGGGGTGCCTGAGCGGCTTTGCAGAAATAGCGTGCACAGGATGTGTTTGGTGTCCGAGCCACGATACTCCTTTTTAAAATCTTTTGTAAGAAGTAGGTTATTGGTTTATGTTGCCCTGTCAAAAATGGTTAATTATTTGAAAAAGCTCTTGAATTAAAAAATAACGTGGAAGAAAGAGCAGAGAAAAAATGAAAATCGGGTAGTTGAGGAAAAAGACAATCTTCATTATAGTGTTAATTTGATAATTGATGGCTTTGAAAATGAACTGTTCATCTATGGGATGTAGTTCAAAGAGCAAAATACCTTTGTTACAGATGCGGCATTCCAGGCAAACTAATTACCCTGACTGGGATAAAAAAGAAAGTCCGGATCGCAGAAGATGCGAGAGTGCTACTAAGAGAAAGAGGAAGTCCCCAGGCGGTGCGCAGGAGAACAAGCACTGCAAACGTGATCTTTCTAAACTTCCTGACAGGTAAACGACTTTCTGACTTCGACATCAGCAAGCATATGTTTTAAGATTCTGTTATGCTCATCAGGTCATCCGATAATGTATTCATTTTTGAGTTGGAGATATTTCAAGAGAGATGTCTTACAGCTAAAAACAAAAAGCTGTCTTGGTGGGGTACTAGAATGACTTTAATTAAGGTTATTTGATCCTTTGTTTGTAGTACCTGTTCAGAAACCAAATGTGTAAATGAGAGAGACCACCACGAGCGACGCTATGTTGAAGAATACAGAAATGAGTACAATCAAGGATGTGATGCTGGGCATCACAGTAGCAAATCGTCGGGTCATAGTGGGACAAGTAGTTACAAAAGGAAATACAAGACACATCAAACTACCTGTCATCATCATCATCATCATCATTCACAGGTGGTGTGGCCAAATTTAATTTAGGATTTTTTTATTTTAAGAAGATAGATTCTCATCTGGGCAGTAGTAATTGAGCGTGGGGGGTTGGGGAATTCTGTCGATAATAGTTTATTCCTTTAGCTAATATTAGCCGATTATTCTTTTTGCTAGGATTTTATTTCCTTCAGTGAAAACGTGTAGTTTGTAGCTATGCTTATGATACCACAGAACATAGTTTTGCTATTTGTTCATTGGCTATATTTGAGCAGATTAATGAATAATAACCATCAATTGGAGTACTTGAAATACAGGCATCACTTTCATGCCTTCAGAATTTTTATTATGATGAGCATTTATTTCAGCCCTACTCAAAAATCCAAGTACAAGCTTTTAAACTTACTTTTGACTAAGTATCACTGAAATAGCAAGGAGATAAAGTCAGATTTTTACTTTTTTAAAAATTTATTTCGTAAGATGTTTTAAGTATTGCTGAAGAATCTGTAGAATCAGATATGTATGATGTCTGCCCACTAGCAGGGCAGTTTTTCTGATCTTTGTTATATATTTAACTCTTAAAAAAGCTGAAGATAGGATTTATAATTTAAGATCTTCAGCTGAGACAGCCTAAAGTAAATGTATATGCTATTTATGATTTTTAAAAAACCAAATTCTTATCAAATATTCAGACCAGTGATTTAATCTCGACTACTTAAGATGGGTATTTTAATTTGGCCACAAGGCTATTCTTTAAAAAAAAAAAAAATATATATATATATATATATAAGATAAATATAAAATCCTTTTGCTTAAAAAAAAAATATGGGCACTGAAATCCTAATGTAAAATTCAGTGAACCAATCTTTTAAAAGAAAAACAATTGTGTTGTAATTTTTTTTGTTGCCTTGCCACTTTGAGTATCTCATCTGAAAATCTGTTCCTTGCCATGTTTTTCTCCTGTAACATAAACTATGTGCCCTGTGAATTTCCGGGGACTGAATTTGAAATTGCTCCTGCCAACCGTTTGTGGCCTGGCGTGTATCTGAATGCCTGAATATCTCCCTGCTGAATGAATTTCGTATTCTGACCTGAATTCACTCGGGTTTATTGATTGGCTGGACGATCTTGGTGCCGTTCCAGAAGAGTCATCGAAGGAAAAGATCCAGGAGTGTAGAGGATGATGAGGAGGGTCACCTGATCTGTCAGAGTGGAGACGTACTAAGTGCAAGATGTATAGAATATTTTTCAAAATTTATTAACTTTTCAGATAGAATAAGTTCTTTTAGCATAAGATGTGAGGGGGCTTTGGAAGTCTTTTCTTTCTGTCTTGACTTTTTTTGTTTGGGGGTGGGGATTGTTATTCTTTTTCTGTAGACCTTAACTTAAATATGTTTCTTTTTTTCTTTTTCCCTTTTTCCCCCCAAAAAAATAGTAAATGAAGTTAATGAACCTACTAGAATGAGCTCCCTGTAAATGTGCCTTGATGAGAGTTGTCCAGTAACATCTCTCAGACTAGATATTTACAATTTAAAGCAGCACAGTCTAGAATAATCTTCAGTGCTAGTACTTAGTCTTTTTGTTTGTTTTATTTTTGTTTGTTTGCTTGGTTTTTTTTAATAGCTGAGTAACTTCACAACTTCTGTCACTGAGAGTTCTTTTCTTTATAGATGAGATTGTTGCTACTTTGGGCGAAGGTGCTTTTGGAAAAGTAGTGGAATGCATCGATCATAAAGCGTAAGTCTCTTTAATTAAATACATGTAATTTTTCTTCAAGCTGACTGAAGGGGGCTTGTCATCTTTGACTGACAGTCGTGGGAAGTTTCTCCAGTATTAGCCCGGCGTAGATAGATACGAAGGGGAGGCAAATGGGGCTTTTAACCTTTAAGACTAATACAGATATATAAGGTATCATCGAGTATGTTTTCCGAATTTAAAGATTAAATTTTAGTTGTGTTTGTGCATAGATGAACCTTGGTTACATTAAGTCAGGATGTACTTTAAAAAAGACCTGAGAAGATTCCCATTGTTATAAACAACGTCTATGGCGATAATTACTGAATACTCTTAGTTAAAACTACTCCGTGTTCTAATCGCTGGTAAAACCTGTGTTTTCAGGGCAGACAGACATGTAGCTGTGAAAATAGTCAAAAATGTTGATAGGTACTCAGAAGCAGCTCATGCAGAAATCCAAGTACTGGAACATTTAAATGCGTCGGATCCCAACAATACGTAGTGAGTATACAGAGTTTTTTGGCTTTAAGATGTCTGTGCTGTCCTTTTCTGTAACGTATGACGTACGTATCTGAGCGTTACGCAACTTCCTGTTGCAATTCATGCACTTTCCTGCTTTTGCAGTCGCTGTGTCCAGATGTTAGAGTGGTTTGAGTACCATGGACACGTCTGCATTGTTTTCGAGCTACTGGGGCTCAGCACCTATGACTTTATTAAAGAGAATGGCTTTCTGCCGTTTAGGCTGGACCACATTAGACAGATGGCCTATCAGATCTGCAAATCTGTGAACTGTAAGTGTCTTTCTTTTGTTGCTTTATTTGTTCGATTTTCTTCACAGAATTTGCTAACTACATTTGTTATCTTGCAGTTTTGCATATGAACAAGTTGACACATACAGATCTGAAACCGGAAAATATTTTGTTTGTGACGTCTGACTATGTAGAAGAGTATAACCCCAAACTGGTAGGTTGCTGTCCTCTCCCCCACCGCCCCCTCGGCCATTGTCTGGGTTGGTTTGGTCACTTGCATCCTACTGTGTTTCACTTCAGAAATGCGATGAACGCATGTTAAAAAATCCGGACATCAAAGTCGTGGACTTTGGGAGCGCGACGTATGACGACGAGTATCATAGCACTTTGGTGTCTACAAGGCATTACCGAGCTCCTGAAGTTATCCTAGGTCAGTAGGAGTCTGTTAGGCTGATCTTTTGCATAAGATTTTTTGTACGCTATTGAACGCAAGCGTTGCCCGTCTTGCTCGAGCTGTTGAAGTGCCTGGTATAAACATGAACCTTCTGAATCTTCTCACAGCGCTGGGATGGTCACAGCCGTGTGATGTCTGGAGCATAGGCTGTATTCTCATAGAATACTACCTCGGATTCACAGTATTTCCGGTAGGTAACTACGACCCTCAGAGTGATGGAGCGTGTATAATGTCCCCCAGCTTGGTGAAAATACGCTGCAGAGAGCTGGGGCCTAAGAGGAGTGGTCTGTGCAAGGAACTAAGCTGCATTTCTCTGTCGTGCCACGTTGAAGAGGACAGAAGATGTGGACACAAAGGAACTGTCTCAGCAGAGTATTTCTACAAGTTGCTTTCAGTAAACATTTTGGCAGCAGCTAGATAGGAAGCATCACTCCGTTAACATTTGTAACTTACAAGCCACGCTAGCAACAGCTGTAGCTTCATCTGTCACCATCAGCAAATACTACTCAAATACCCGAGTTCTGTCCCCTTGACAGTATACCTGAAACTTTGAAATTATGAACAAAGGAAAAAAAATAAGGCAGTGTCAAGGGGAGGAAAAAACCTCCAGTAGATTGTAACTCATTTCAGGAAACAGATGACTATAGCCTCTCTTTTTTCCTTAATCTGACATGGATTAGTGGTTGGAGGGTACAGTAGAAAAATGAAGTAAGGATAGTGCGTGGTTCTTGGTGACTTCCTCTAGCAATGAACAAAAATGTCCGTCTTCATTTCCCTGCAGACCCACGACAGCAAAGAACACCTGGCAATGATGGAGCGAATACTGGGGCCTTTGCCAAATCACATGATAAAGAAGACCCGGTAATGACATTTTTCCGTACACGGGACTGCTGTAGTTGATCCTAAATATTTTCAGTTTGGTTTCATAGCAAATTTTTTAAAAAAGCTTAATAAACTGGGATTAATCCTTTTGCTCTATTTACCAAGCTGGCCGCTCTTGGGGAACATTCCCAGCTCAGTTGCCAAGTTGTGAACAAACATGCTGAGAAACTTCTAGCAAGGGGACAAAACAGAATCTTTGAATAACAAAACCTGTGGTTTCTTTGTTTAAGGAAACGCAAATATTTCCGTCACGACAGGCTGGATTGGGACGAACACAGTTCTGCTGGTAGATACGTCTCAAGGCGCTGTAAGCCACTGAAGGTAGGCTGACAGGGGGAAAGTGCTCTTGGGGAGAGGAGCTTGAAGCACAACTGCAAGATTACAAAAACACGTTTTGTTGTTTTCTTCCTGAAGGAATTCATGACCTGCCACAATTCTGACCACGAGAACCTCTTTGACCTCATTCAAAAGATGCTGGAGTATGACCCGGCCAAGCGCATTACTCTGGAAGAAGCACTGAAGCATCCTTTCTTCTTCCCATTGAAACGGCAAAAAAGGGGGCTGTCTCCTATAGCTGAGCAGGCTGACGCAGATGTCAGTCCACCAAAGAAACATAAGAAATGTTAAATATTTATTGTGTACAGTTATTTTGTAAATGTCCTATTTTGTATTATGACTTTTTGGATACTGAAGTTTAATCCAGCTGCTGCCATAAAACTTATTTAAGAAAAAGGTACTGACGAACCTGGTTGCATTTCCTCAGTCAATAAAAATCTTGGGACAGTTGCACTTTTAACATGTAGAAAAGGGGACCCTCTACAGAGGGTATTATTTTAATTGTGCTTTATTCAGCTGTCATGGGAATAGCAAAGGACCTAGGGCTGATTTTTGCCCTTTAGTGTGACCGATGCTTCCTTTCTGGGTAAGAGAACAGAGACAGCCCTTGACATTAAGTGTAAGGATGGCCTTTATTTGTTTAAAAAAAAGTTACAAAGTGAGGAAGATCACTGTAGTATTGGACAGATTGCATTGTGACCACCTATTTTTTTCTTTTTTGTTAATTTTAGTAGGTGTACTCTGGTTACCAGTATTTCAGTTAATGCTCATTATTAGCTTACAACAGTATAGACTTCACTCTTTTACCCAATCTTTCTTGAATTGTGACCCGTCCTGAGAATTTCCACTGAGTGAATTCAGACTTTTGGGGAGCAGATAAAGGGTTTGGTTTACCATGTCAACTGCCAGCATAAAAATCATCTCTCAACTTCAGGGGGAGGGGGGAGGGTTTTGTCCGCCTTACCTTCCCGCAGCCACGCGTTACAGGGCAGCACAAGCAAGCTGCCCGCCCCACCCCAGCCCTGCCAGCAGCACAGGCCGGGGCTCTGGGAAGGCCTCTGCTGGGCAGCTTCCATGTGGAACAGCTTCCACAAGACAAGAGGAGAGGCAGGCAGGGCCCCCCCCCAGCCGATGCCCAGCTGCAGGGCAGCCTGGCTGCCCCTCAGGAGCGCAGCCCTGCAGCTGTGACAGCCAGCGGGCTCAGAGGTGCCACCCTTTGCACCCCACCACCGGTACTGTTCACCAGAACGGCTCCTCTCCGGAGCAGGGCAGCCGCCTCACCCCGCACGTGGAATAGAGGATTGCTTTATGCTGGAGGAATACTAAAGAGATGACAACCACCTACGACTGGGCTTACTTGGATTGAGTGTCACACCGAGTTACCACACAAGCCATGGCCTCTTCGCTTCGGAGGCTTTTTACCGTTTAATTTGCAAACAGAACTGCCATAAATCTCATTCACTGTATCATGTCTACTCAAATATAGATAGAAAACCCGAGGGGTAAAATGGATTTCATTGTGGAAGGCCTTAAATTACATTATTACAGTAGAAAATACAGGAGGTAGAATATAACCGAAAGGACAAATGCAGGTTAAGAGTCAAATCTAGAATAGCTCCTGTAAGCTACTTAAAACATGGTTTTAAAAACTAAACCCAGTATTTCAATAACTATAGAAAACAGTTAAAATAAATTGCCATGAGAGCCCTTATATCATGCTTGATACAGGGAGGTAGGATGTAAGAATCAGGAGGACACATGAGACATGACACTTATCTACAGCTCCTGTTTGCTTTACTGAGGACAGAGTTTCACAGGTCAGTCGCCCTCTTCACCTTCAGACTCCGACTCTGGAAGAGAGAGACCTCATCAACCGGCTGCCAGCCGGTCAGGCCGCCCCAGCCCCCGAGTTCAGCCCCTGCCCTGCATCCCGCGAGTAGCTGCTACTGGATCCACGTGGATTTCACTGGCAAGCTTTTCTAGCCCATACTGGGGGCCACACCTAGTCTCAGAGGGACAATTAGCACCCTCCCGCCCCCAAACCAAGGCATTCCTTTTTTTATTCCTGCATCCCAAAATGAACAAGCGCCACTTGTGAGCTAAGCTGCTGCTGCTTACCTTCTTCAGCATTCTTGAGCCATTCAACAAACTTTTTCATTTGCTCCAGAAAAACGCTCTTTCCTTTTGCAAGATGCGCATCTTTATACCACTTCAGGATGGGTTCTTCACTCAGAACTTCAGCTGTAAGACGCGCAAGAGCAGTATGAACACAGCAAACCACTGAATACCAGCTTCTGAGAAGCCCTGACTGGCAGCCTTTGCTTCCTCCCCAGAGGCCTCAGCACACGTACTCCTTCCCTGGGTACAGCTGGGCAGGCCCTGCCCTGGGAGCGCCTCCCATTTTAAAATTCCGAGAACCGTGCATTTCAGAGAGGCTGCTGGGGGTTTCCCGAGCACTCCATCTAGGAGCTGCACGTTCACTCCCACTAACAGCCTTGAGTGTTTCATGGCTATTTGAGATGACACACTCTAAGGAAAGCTTCAGTCAACTACTAAGAACAGATGCAAATTCTTTAAAGCCCAAAGTACGCCACAGGAAGTGTTTAATTGTTTTTTAAATTTTACAAGTACACTATAATCTTCAGTTTAACGTTTCCTTATGCTCCTGTGGTGTTTCCACACGTGCACAGCGTATTTTTCAGTAACACCTTTTAACAGCGAGCCTGCAGCACCAGAACACCTCGGTGGTTTCAATCTCTGGCTGGTCACAGTCAGTGTTCAGACAGAGAACTAAGAAGAATACACTATCGTGTATCTTTCCTTTCCCTAAGTTAAAAGGGCCCAAGAGCCTTAAAATCTAAATTTAGCTTTCATCTACCACAACTCTTAAAATCTAGTAGACAGGCAGCATCCTTGTCTAGAGGAGTACTTCCCCATATGCCAAGGACAGCCACATCCACCTTTGGATTTTACCACTCCATCTTTGCAAACAAAAGGTAGAAAATTCTTCAGCTCATGAAGTGCAATGTTGCAGCACTGATGTTCCCTAAAGGTCTTATCGGGACTGAAGCATTCTGCAAACACAGGCTTTAAAAACCCAACCAACCAAAAAACAACTCCCCAAAACTACAACCCCACAGAAGTTACCTTTATAGAAGAGCACCACTATTTTCTGGAAGGCCTTCATGAAGTGAATGTTGTCATAACAATACTCCTGAATCTTCAACAGAAGAGTCAGCTCTGACTGACCTTGGGTAGTAAAGGCAGCAAGTAGAGGGCTGTATTGCTGTAAGAGGAACGGCAAATTGGCACACGCTGAGCATTTCACATTTATCACCTGACCAGACTGGTTTCATGCAGTTTCCATCAGCCACTGCTTAGAAATTTGCAACCCCCACCCCAGAGCGCTTCTGCAGAAGTCACACTGCCTTTGCCTCAGGAACGTGGACTATAATCCCACAGTCACAAGGGGAAGAATTCCCTCTCATGCTGTCTCTGCATTAGGGGGGTTGTAGGTTTTAACTCGTTTAAAAGGGAGCTGGAGACAGAGGAAAGCCCAAGCCCTACCCAACGGGTGCACAAGTCCATATACTTAAGTTACAGTACCTTCAAGTGCTTAATGGCTTGCTCTGCTACCAGCTCCTCCTTTTTGTTCCATTCCACCGTGCTCATTACACTTGACCAGATTATGGCTACCACAGTCTGTTCCGAGATGTTGTTTTTCTTCATCTCCTCCTTCACGTACAAGATTATCTGCCAGTCAGAATAAAAGAGTTGGCACGTAGGCAACATCTGACACTAAGCTAAATTAAAACTTCTGTTCTAAAGGCAACGTAGGAGCCTTCAGAACCACAAACAACCCCCTTGATCACACAGCAGGTTCAGGACATTAAGGAAAGACTAGGAAGCTAATACCAAAACACCCTGGTCCTGATTTTAATTCTTAGTGAGAGCTAGGTGTTTAAGTTCATATATGCATGATATTGCATTTCAGATAATTTGAGCTAAGTTCCTACAGAAAGGGAGAGAGAAAGGGAGGAAAAAAAAAAACAAAAACAAAAAACAAGGCACCTACACCCTTGTCTACAGACAAATACTTACATCCTTGAATGGATCTCCCCGGGACATCTGCTCCTGAAGTTCTTTCTGCAGTTCCTTCCGAGCTCCTATGGTTTGCTGGTTCCGAACATACTCGGAAAGCTCTTTTAGTCCTGCTTCAGTGAAGTACTTGGAGAAGTGTTCAACACTTTGTTTGTTGGCTGGGAAGAGTTCCTGAAAACGAAGTTTACAACAACTCTTTCACAAAAGAAGTGCACGTTGAGTACTTTGCTGGTAGCTGCTATTTACTAAACTGGCTTAAGCAGTAAATCCGTAATTTCAGCGGTACTCACCATCAGCCTGTTATCCATGTTTACTTTACGAAGACTGACAGCCACTGCATTAATATCTTTCTCATTTATCCATGACTTGAACAGCTTGACTGCAAAAGCTGCAGAAACACCTGTGCAACAGGAATAGTAATGTCATTACTGAAATTCAAAACAAAGGGAATCATAAGCCCTGAGAGTACAGGGCACCTAGTTTGTAAGACCCCTGCTCAAAGCATCAGCAGCTGTGCTCAGAGGCAGCCCTAGCAGCCTCCGGCATGTTGGACTTCTCTCACCACTCAGCATCATGAAGGCTTCCCTTTACTAAACTCGACTCTCCTTGCTGCAATTTAGGAAGGAGCCTGAAGACATGACACACCTCCTGCATCCCGAAAGGTCCCTCTCCAAAATACAGCACTGCCTTGCTGGGCAACACTAGTGCCAGCAGCCTCCAGGGTCACGCAGGGAAGTCCTACACACAAGCTTTCTGGAAAGACTGGATTTCTAAAGTCTTAGCAAGACCTTTCCAGGTTGCGAGGCAGCACGTTTACCTTTGCTAATCCTGTAGTAAATCTATCACTAGATGAAACTAGTGAGCTGTAGGGGTGTACTTTTATCACAATTTCCACCTACTCGTCACAGTTCTGTCCTGCACCATCCTTCCCTAAAGGAGGAGTTGGGCAACACTTACCTTCTTTAACCAAGTTCTCATTGTAAAGACTGTTGAGAATTGATGCATTAAGTGTCCCGTTGGCTAGCAGAATACCCGTCAACATGGCCAGTTTGTTCCGCTCAGACTCTGAGAATCCTTTCAGGAACAGCAGCAACTGCAAGAGGAAGAAAAAAAGTAAGAAGAGTTGCCATAAAACTACCATCTCTCACTAAAGTTTGGCTACTGCCTCCATGTTAGACACTTCTGTTTCA